TATGGCTCGAAAGCTAGCCAAATGTGCAAAGTTCATACTAGTTCTTGCGAGATAACAAATGAGCTAGATGTGAGTTAAAATTACGAAAACTCTGGCAAAACTGGGACAGCCGATGTAACAACTAACTATGATGCGGAGACGAACACCTCACTTGCTGATAAAATTAGAATGTTCGCGAACACATTTCGAAGGTGGCGCCAACAACAGCGAATTGGATTAGGATACTGACAGAAGCAACTTGAATAGTTATAAGAGTTGGAAGGTCTACTTACATATCTCAAATGGACATTAACAAATCTATAGGCCCTTGCAGTATTCCAGTCAGATTGCTAAAAGTTCTTATTAATGATTCTTTTCTCTGTGGCATTTTTCCAAATGAACTTACATTGAAAAGAGTTACTCTGGTTTTCAAGAGAGGCTCTGGACAAGACAAAGATAATTATAGGCCAATATCAGTGCTATCTGTTCTAAGGAAAATATATGAAAAAGCTATGTATAAGTGCCTCTATGGTTATCTTGAATGTTAATATTCTCTACTCACTTCATTCTGGCTTCAGGAAGAAGTGTTCAACCAATCACACACTTATAAGTATCACTGAATCTATTTGTTACTCAATTGTCAATAATGAGTTTGGCTGTGGTATTTTCATTGATTTATAAAAAGCCTTTGATACAGTAAATCAATCTATTCTTTTGTTGACATTGCATCATTATGGAGAAAGAGGTAAATTCTACGATTGGTTTCAATGTTATCTATCCAACAGAGAACAATTTGTGTGTGGTAATGGTCATGACACTGATTCCCCATCAGTCACTTGTGGGGTTCTTCTAGGATCTGTTCTTGGACCCTTTTTGTTTTTGCTATAAATCAATGACTTACCTAATGCTTCAAAATTGCTTACTTTTCACTTATTTGCCTATGACACTAACATTTACTGCTCTTGTAAGAACTTGAACAATCTTAAACTAAAGTTAAATAGTGTGCTAAAAGCATTTGCAGAGTGGATGAAATCTAACAGACTAGCACTCAGTATTCTCAAAACA